CAGCCTTTTTCAGCAACATTACAAATAAAACCGATGGTTGTAGTAGCAGCTTTTTTTCAGCAACATTACAAATAAAACCGATGGTTGTAGTAGCAGCCTTTTTTCAGCAACATTACAAATAAAACCGATGGTTGTAGTAGCAGTCATTTTTAGCAACATTACAAATAAAACCGATGGTTGTAGTAGCAGTCTTTTTTCAGCAACATTACAAATAAAACCGATGGTTGTAGTAGCAGTCTTTTTTCAGCAACATTACAAATAAAACCGATGGTTGTAGTAGCAATCCTGAGACAATCTGTTATTTACTTTCATAGCCTATATAACTGAGTAAAGGGGGGGGGTGAGTTTGAAAGCTCTAACTTTGTTTTACCATACAGGTCTGTACGAGATATCGTTAATAAGGATATATATAGTACATGATATAAACAATGTGTGTTTGGGTTTATCATTTCAACCTTACAAGGTGTAAGCGACTTTGTACATCATATTTAGCCAAGCAGAAGACGTTGTAATTCTACGCATTTATATTTCATATTTGACATTTTAGTATCTATACTCCATCATATCAACTTGACACAAAGTATCTGTACTCCATATTATCAACAGGGTGTGTAAATCTGTAATATTTTTTACCAACTTGTATCAACTTGACACTCACTGTCTGTAACCTAGGCAGTGAATTTGGCACGTGGCACTCACGTTCTTTGTTATCGACTTTTGATGTATTACCTATACTCAATATTATTAACATGACACATCATATGACAAGGCTGTTTTATCTAATACGCTCTATTTGTGATCCGATGCCTGTTTAGTTTAACTACTGTGTTCATCACAATTTGTTACGTAATCAGTAGAGGTTGGACGATGGTCGTTATCAGAGATCACGGTCACTCGTGTGGAAGTTAGCTTAAGCAATTGCTGGTTGAGGACCAACGTTTCTGATGTAAAAAAACAAACATTTTTTTACTGTGTAACACAACAGTTCGTTACGTTTTACTCTTCAATATAAGAAGTAATACACATGTACTAATGTTGTGGTGTTTTAAGTTTTAGTAAATACTGCTAATGATAAGACAATCGACATAATGAAGCTAAAATTCTAATATTTTGAGTTATTATGCTCGTGAATTTTCGCTTTTTTACAGTTTCAAATACTGTGTTCCAGAATTGTATAAAGTTGCCATGTTTTTCTAAGTTTTTATCTATTACGAAAAAAAGAGTCAAAAACACTTGTAAGGTTTCCTACTTTGTATCTTTAACGAACACAACCTCACTCCACGTTGATTTTTGTGTAACTTGGAAAAAACGATGCCAAATAAGGATTTGTAGAGGGCGCCACATATGTCCCTTCTAAACGTCGAATGACGTATTGATCCTCTGGAACGGCATAAACAAACCCTTCTTGCACAGGTAAGGTGACGACTGTAAGTTCCTCGCCAGTGCCAGGAGCCTCCTGCACGTGAATACGTGCCTCAGGTAGTTGCATTGTCTGGAAAATTACATTGAAGTATGAAATATACGTTTGATTCAAGTAAATAAAATGTGTTTTTTTAAAGTAGATATCAAACTAGAAATGAAGTTTAGCAGATCAGAATATTAAGTTAGTTTCAACTGTATTGAAATTACGAGACATTTCTGGTCACAGTAAAAGTGGTAACGAACTGTATACTTAAGGTGCTAATATACAAACAGCATTTGATCGTTAAACAGTCTTAAGTTTGAAATTTACTTGTTATATGTTTAACTTCTTAGTGAGGTTACACGAGTGAAAACTTTTATTGGTCTATATACAAATACCTGTCTTGTACTATTTCGTGCACTCCCTGGTTTGATCCCATCATTTTCCTGTATTTTCTTTGGCTCAGAGCCATCTACCGGTAGTGCACAGAAGCGCAAGTCTAAACTGGAGAGCCCTGCAGCGATGCTAGCAATAATGTGTGTTATGATAACGACAATAACTCTGGTTAACACGATTCCAAACTGAATCTTTTCTAGTAGAGAGAGAAGAAAAAAAACAATAAATAACTTGAAGAACTTATTACAGTAAGTATAACTAGATAATAAAACTAATGTACTAAAGATAAAACGTAAAGTGTCCAGTCAAACAATCTGCTATATCAGGAGTGTCAGTCAGTCAGCAAGTGGTAACGTCGTATATGGCGGTCTCATGGACAGCGTGCACCCAAACACGTTGGAGTGTTCTCAGGTGAACTGATCTCCCTACAAATATAGGAGAGGACAGCAGTTTCGAACATAAAACTACAAATATAGCAGAGAACAGTAGGTTCGAACATAATACTAAAAAATATAGGAGAGAACAATAGGTTCGAACATAAAACTACAAATATAGCAGAGAACAGCAGGTTCGAACATAAAACTACAAATATAGCAGTGAACAGCAGGTTCGAACATAAAACTACAAATATAGCAGAGAACAGTAGGTTCGAACATAAAACTACAAATATAGCAGAGAACAATAGGTTCGAACATAAAACTACAAATATAGCAGAGAACAGCAGGTTCGAACATAAAACTCTACTGAGTTTTAAAATAAAATAAACAGAATGAACACATTTTAAGAACAATCTTTATTACAAATAGAACAAAACAAGTATGCATTCCTGGGTAAAAAAAAGTGGATTATTACCTCTACTGGATCAGTGACTAAATCTACAGCTTTAACACCTCAAACTGAGTTTCTGCATAACTAGCCACGATGAAAGCCAGTTAGGAAAAGGCCCAAAAATCTAAGCTTCATGCTCGCTCGTAACACCTGTTGTTGTTTTTTTTTGTTGGCATCACCACGTGACCTATCACTCTCTGTTAACATTTACAGTCTTAGACATTTCAATGTCTTGTCCTCCTCCAACGAAAGGACTCCCCTGCGTACCTTAAACCACAAACGGTTCTTCAACACAATGCAGTGTCATCTGCGTACCTTAAACCACAAACGGTTCTTCAAAACAATGCAGTGTCATCTGCGTACCTTAGACCACAAACGGTTCTTCAACACAATGCATTGTCATCTGCGTACCTTAGACCACAAACGGTTCTTCAACACAATGCAGTGTCATCTGCGTACCTTAGACTACAAACGGTTCTTCAACACAATGCAGTGTCATCTGCGTACCTTAGACCACAAACGGTTCTTCAACACAATGCAGAGTCATCTGCGTACCTTAGACCACAAACGGTTCTTCAACACAATGCAGTGTCATCTGCGTACCTTAGACCACAAATGGTTCTTCAACACAATGCTGAGTCATCTGCGTACCTCAGACCACAAACGGTTCTTCAACACAATGCATTGTCATCTGCGTACCTTAGACCACAAACGGTTCTTCCACCGATCAAACACGTGACTAGCTTGACTGCTGATATCCCCTGTTTCCAAATTCAAGAGACTTGGCGAAAAGATGAAGCTTTGACACTTTACTTTAAACTGTTCAGTCAATGGAAGAGCTCTTACCTTTTCTTACTAGCGACTTCTGGCTGCCTATTGAAACCAGAGTCGATAAAACAAGTGTACGACGGCTGTTGATACTCGCGATGTTTTTCCACAAGCACTCTCAGACCGAAAATTTAGCCTTAAGTTAAGGATTGTACATTTATTTAATAATTTTAAAGAACTACAAATAAGCACGTTTAGTATTTATCAAATTTTGGATAATTTTTCCAAACTTCAGATAAGATGAATTACCTAAAAAACGTGATTACAAGAGTTAAAAAAATCGTAACACTTCACCTGATCATGACAAACTAACTTATAATCATATGTAAATGTTGTTCATTTATTCAGTGGTTTCAAACAAGTTATCAGTACAGAATGATTAGAAGTTCTTGAGCTATTGTACTGAAATAAGATGATGTTTACCACAATTATCACCTCTTGAGAAGAATAGTGACTGGAGTTGCGTCTATGCATAAAATACACTTAAATGAGAAAATGTAAGGCATTTTAAATTCAACCTTATAATTTAGTTATAATTCAGTAGACCTGATTGGGTATTCAGAGTAGTTTTAAAATACTCCAATTGTATTTACCTTGTAAGTAAAAGGGTTCCGAAAATATTTCGAACAGGTTTAAAAGACTGCTTTTTGCTGTAATAATCACACATCTAACACCTACATAACACCTGTAATAATCACACATCTAACACCTACATAACACCTGTAATAATCACACATCTAACACCTACACAACACCTGTAATAATCACACGTCTAGCACCGACATAACACCTGTAATAATCACGCATCTAACACCTATATAACACCTGTAATAATCACACATATAACACCTACATAACACCTGTAATAACTACATCTAACACCTTGTCTACAACCAAATGTACTTCCACAGGGTCCCCGAAAGTGTTCTGTTTAAAAAGTAAAATAAAATAAAATCAAGTGTAACCAATATTTTTATTCCTTAATTTTGAAGTTCATTTGTTATGCTGTATTGTAGTTTACAGAGTGCATAATTCTTCTCGTGATTCATGGCATGCGCACGTTTTACTGACATCACGGCAGTACATATTGCAATGTTAAGCGTCCCCTATGTGATGTTATCTTAGTGTCCACTGACTGTCTGATAGATAACACATTGCTTTTCAGTGGTGGGAATGGTTAAAACAGGTGACCCCTCCAGGCGACCTTTGCCCCCTTTCGGAGAATTACAGCAGATCAGCAAGAGGCATTAGTTTTTTTTCGCTTTGTGTTTGCGGGTGTGTTCCCCTCAACTAAGTAACTTTGCTATTAGTTGTTGTTGTTGTTGCTGTTTTTTCTCCAAAATAATTGAGTATAACTTTGTGTTAAAATGAACACAAATTTTGTGTGACCTTTATAGATAAACATTCCTTTATAATCATATATATATGTATTGCTTATATCTACGTAAATATATATGTATAGAAAATTAGTACTTAAACAGTTAACCAAAAAATAATATTCCATCTAACCAATGAAGCAAAGATTCAAAAGCAAGGTCTGCGTTATTTTTAAAAATAGCAAGTCCAAACCTGTTATGAAAAACATTTATATTAACAAAACAAGCTCAAACAATAAATTAAAGGGTACAGGCTATAATGTGGGATATAAAATGTGCCCTGGGTTTTCGAGGTGACTGTAGAGATAGGTGGGGATACTTCGTCTACCAGTCCTAACCTTCTTTCGCCAGTCTCGCATGTAAAATGGCCCGGCATGGCCAGGTGGTTAGGGTGCTCTACTCGCAATCTGTGGGTCGCGGGTTCGAATCCCCATCACACCAAACATGCTCGCCCTTTCAGCCGTGGGGGCGTTATAATGTGACGATCAATCCCACTATTCGTTGGTAAAAGAGTTGGCGTTGGGTGGTGATGACTAGCTTTACCTCTAACCTAAATTACGGACGGCTGGCGCAGATAGCCCTCGTGTAGCTAAGAAAAGTAAATTAGGAGAAGAAGAAGAAGACGTAGGTGCTCACAAAGTCCCACATCTATATCACCCTTCACTTCTCGTGCTCAAGCTCACAAAGTCCCACATCTATATCACCCTTCACTTCTCGTACTCAAGCTC